AATTTAGCTTGAAAACCACAGCTTTGAAGCCTCATGCGCGCCATACCCGGGAACAGAACTGTAGCTACTTGTAGCTACCCTGGGTCCGTATAAATACTATGTTGCTATACCTCTTACACACCTATACAAGTTCAAAGCACGAATGAGACTTCAAAGCTGTGGATTGCTGTGCGTGTGTAGAGGTTCTCAAGCGGTTGACGGAAAGGCAACTTGAAGTACTATACCTGGTAGCTGCACTATGGCTACCCTAGGTCTCTATACCTTGCAAGGTGCCAACTACACCTTTCCATTCAGATGATGCAAATGATGCATTTTGCATTTCTTGCATCACCACCCCTCAAAAATCACCTCCAACACAACCTCAAAAAACCTTCCCTCGAAGCACCCTCCTCCCCCAGCATGTGCCGAGTTGACGTATACCTTTCTCGGGCCACCCCCCCAGACCCCCTAACTACTCACTTCGTTCGCCAGACACAACTCCGCTAGCGCCTTCTACGAAGGCTGGCTTTCGTAATCTGTGGTTGAGTAGTTTAACGCAAGTTTACTGTACGCCTGAATCAGGATTCGATTTCTCAATACTTTACCCAGACACTCCATGGGACTGCCATATATATGCCGATCAGTTGGGGTGGTTTGAGGGGTCAATTGATCGGCAGTCCTATGGCAGTTCCAAACAGGTCGTGTCTGGGTTATTGGGCAGGTCGGTGTGTCTGAAAGTGAGAGTGCCATTTCCCACGGTACTTGGGCTTTTCCTCGAGAATTCCTTTCGACCAGTTGGGATTGCCGCGAGGGCTCCACGTTCAGCGGCCATGCTCTTGGCTATGGCTTTCCGTTCCGAATACACTGGGGCGATGGACCTCCCATGGGCCCTGATGGCATGGACCAAACTGGAAGACGATTTTCCTCTAGAAACCAGTATGCCGTGGTTTTCAGGGTCTTAGTTTTCCGTTCGGAATATCTGGTAGCTTTTGGTTCCGAAGTGAGTGGTTCCGTCCAGCCTCGATGTAAACCTGCTCATGCTCTTGAGTAGGGAAAGGAACCCCCCTAAGAATCACACTCCCAAGTTCCTCATCGGCCGGGCGGTTCCGTGGAGAAGGACACGGCTCCGAGGACTCGGATGACCATGTTCCTCATACCCAAAATGGCCGGTGGGGTGTTTACTCCGACTCCATACCATTCTTTCAGGTCGTGGTACCAGTCGGCGAATCACTTCGACTGCGACGATCCGGCGCTGTGCCGTGTCGGTCTGCCTGCTAAGCCATGCCTCATTGCATCCAACAGTCCTTGCCATTGATCATCCTTCCTCGGAGCATGAGGCGCTTTGGAGAAAGGACACCGAGAGGGGCGAAAGGCGGCGAGCGAGTGGCGAACGGCGAACGACTGGAGACATTGGTGATGACCGAGGCTGCAGAAAGTAAACCTGCATCGAGTAGACCTTGGTCAGCCCTTCAAGCGCACGATGATAGACCAGTTCGAATGCCACCAAGCCTTGAATTCCACCATTGGCTCGGTGTGACCGAGGTACGGAGAAGCCCGGTCCCTAGCCGTGGAGAAGCTACTCTCCTGAGTAGCAGAACGTGGAAGTGGAAGAAAACCACCTGTTTGTAGAGAAAAACATGTTGTGTTTCGTGTGTTCCAGGGGAGTAACGTTCCATTACCATTGATTATTTCAGGGTTCGTGTCGTATTTGTTGAAACGTCTTGGAAGCAACTCTATTATGTCATGTCTATAGTTGAGGGTCGCAGAACTGTTGATGGTAGAAATCTTGAACACCTGGCATCTTGAACCATTTCTACACTCCCGGGAATAATAGGGTTACTTCATGTTACTTCCATGTCTAATTCAGGGAGTGTATTCTATTTCTTCCACAACTGCTATATAGGGCCTTCAAGAAGGCTCTCTGCCTATCTCCCAACCAGCCCGCCGCCCCTCCGCAGCAGGCTGGCGCCAACCCGCGCCCAGCGTCATGAGCTTCTCCGCGATGGCTCCACGCGGTCCACTGGGCGCTTGGTCGCTCCACTTCCCCGTCAAAGCGCCTCAGCCGCCACGGACGAGGACGGTCGTCGTTGCCGCCGACTCCGGTCGGCGAAGCGGGGCGGGTTTTGATGAGGAGAGGAAGCCGGGATTTGGGTTTTGATTTTACTTCAATGAGAGTATTCCGCAGGTTAGGGGCTTCACCCCAGTTTGGGATTCCGCAATCACCTGATTCCCCAGGTTTGGGCTTCGCAGGTGCGACACGACAGGCGTACAGGCCGGGCCCAAAAAACCGCAGCCCCAGGAAACAGGGGATGAGCGGAGCGAAACAGGCGTGGAGCGTTGCACAGCAGGTGCAGTTCGCGAGATTTCGGGGGTACTTCATGGTACAGGTGCCTCCAGGGCTCCAGAACAGGTACTTCATGGTACTTGTCTGACTTCATGGTACTTCACTACAAAAGAGCCACGTTCAGAGCCACTGAGTCACTTGCTTTCCTCCTTCCCGACCCCGGCTCGCCGGTGTTGACCAAATCGCCCCTCCGATCCCAAAGGGGATGATGGTCCATATGATCCATGTCGTGGCTCGGGTGTTCACGACTGACGAGTACCACGAAGTGGCACCTGTTTTACCTAAGTCGCCAAAGTCAGGGTATATGAGAGTAGTGATAGGTACACTAGCGTGAAACAACAATCCATATATGTTCTGAAACAAATGTGGCGAACCATGAATCAATAGCGATTCAACCAAAGGTCCATGTACATGTTCCAGTCCTTTCCCAGACACGACCCGTCTGGGACTATAGGACTGCCGATCAGTTGGGGTGGTTGACTGGGGGTCTGGCTTGATCGGCAGTCCTATGGCAGTCCCATGGCTCGTGTCTGGACTTGATCTTTCTTGGGGGTACATCATTGGGGTGACGTCCTTGTGTCCATGCCTTCTTCAACCCCATGCCGTCTTCAGCCCCCTTCGTCGTGGGTTCTTCTTCGTACGAAAGGCGCCCAGTGCAAGAGGGCTGTAAGCCAAGATCTTCACACCCAGCTCGTCACACGTGGCCTTCATTCCGTTCCTGTGAACACTCGCGCGTTCCGCGGAAACGACCGCACGGAAGTTGCGCCGATCGGTGATCCGGCCCGACGTGATGGAGGGCGGGCCCTTGAAAACAAGGGGATACTGGGGGGATACTGGCCAAAGTGGCTTTTTGAAGAAAAAGTTGGTAGAAACCCTTTTGATGCATTGACGTCCTACAAAGAGTTCTTTGTGTAAAGAGAGTAGGTTGTCCGGACCATCTACTGTACCACTTACATGGCAAAATGACCCAAAAGGCACCAAAAGACCTTATGTGCCTTGAAACCACTTCTGAAAACGTACAGAGCCCAGTTCACAGACCATTCGATAGGGAGGAGTTCGTTCCTGTGATTCGCAGCTGCTAGGGGAAGACATCTCCCAAAACAAGAAAACACATAAGTTGTCCCCTAGCACATGCTTAGCACTCTCTACACGACTAATTATCTAGCATTACACTACTACACTCATAGTTCGTTCCTGTTTTTTTCCGCATCTGCACTACTACACTACTACACTCTCTGAAATACTCATGGGATACGCTAGCAGTGAAAAACGATCATCCGAGTCCTCGGGGCACGTTCGAACCGCCCGGCCGATGATGGACCAGGGAGTGTATGGGGAAACCACGCGCCGCAGGAGTCGCTTGGTGCTGCAAGGAGTTCGCTGAAAAGGCAACGCAAGGCGACGACTGCGAACGAGAAATCATGAGAACAACATGAAATCATCTTCAAATCCTCCGTTAAATTCCCAAGGTCGGTCCAGATGTTATGGATGTGTTCTTTTTTTTAAACGGGGATATCTTAAACACTTAAAATGCCAACGGTTCCAAATCGAGTGGATTTGATTCCTATTGGGCAAGCCAACGAGCAGGGAAGAGGTATAGGTTTTGGTGGTAGTTGGGAGCAAGTTGGCCACAAGGCTCCATAGGGCCTATATAAGTAAGTGAGTGGATGATGGGCCCCATCTTCCGTTTCCGGTGCACCGACCTCTGCGCTCCAATGGAACGCCTCTCCGACGCACTCCGAAGCACCACCCATCTGTTTGTGCCGAGAGGCAACTCCGGATATCGGTATAAGAGACTGTACCTCAACGACAAACCGCTATGTAGTTGGTTGAGCAAACCCACATAAAAAGAATCGACCGTGGGACCCTCCAACAGGTGTTTCCTGGTGACAACAGGTGCCTAGAAACCACCTGTTGGGCTTCTAAAACCACCTGTTGGAAGGTCCTGGGAGAGAGATATAGATGTGAACCTGTTGAAGGTCCGGATGAATCCCTGAGATTGGTCCCTGCGTTCCCCGCACCCTACGTCATGATGATTGGACCCGAAACCAGAGTAGTCGAAGATCGTCTCCTGTATTGCTTTGGGGGCCAATACAGCAGTCTCTCTCATCCATTTTTGCAGTATAAGTATCCACACACACACACACACACCTGAACCATTCAAACGCGCATCCAATGATTGGAGTCCAAATGGAGGACCCTAGATCTCGCCCAGGACGGAATACGGCCCCAAAGCGTCACACGGCTGTGTGAAAACCCTCTGGGTGGACCTTCCTGCAGGTCGTCCCATCTCTTTTCATTTTGGGTGGTCAACCCACAGGCACATGATTCCTACTAGGGCTCCACGTGCCTCCTCCATCTTTGGAGCGCACCCCGGCCCAGTCCCACCGAACCTCAGGTGCCAGTCGTGCATCCCATGGGGTTTAAAAAAACATGCACTCCGACGAACACATCACATGGTTACGTGGATGGCACACCCGGTGTAAAGGAAAGTCGCCTTCCTAACTCGGGACCATGCCATCCACGGTAACCATGTGATGTGTTCGAGTGTACCGAGCCAAACCGGCGACACCACGAGAGGGCGGAGGCCGACACTGAACCGGGCTGAAACCACGAGTGTGCCAAACAGTTCCATGCTGTTCCTTATAGCCTTCGACCATTGAAAGAATGGTGGATCTGGTAGTGTCAACTCACCAAAACAATGGTCGTTCAATAAAGACTCTTAAAAAACTGGCGGTTGGAATCCTAAGGTGTTGTTATCCCATCCCGGTCTGCAAGTAGACGCCACCGATGACACTTTGCGAAAAACGAATTCAATTAGCCATTAAGAAGAGAAACGCGAGATGCTTTTGAATGGGGTGTCCCATTTTGTTCTCGTTTTCCTTAAGGGAACTGTGCATGATGGCCAAGGCCCCTTTCATATACCCCAGTAAATGCGAAAGGAAACAACGGTTGGGTGTCCCAACAGTCGGACTGAGACCAGTCTCGGTGCCAAAGCGCTGAATCTGATTGGAGGTCAACGGGATGCCTGGCCGGGCAGCGAAAGTCCACGAGCCGCCGCCGCCCATGGAACTGATCTTAGCGCTCTTTTAGGCCTACAACCGAATTCAATCCTGCCGGCCCGTCCAATCAAAGCGTCCATTTGAAAGAAAGAAAGAAAGACGCCGCTGAGAAAACATGTCCACTTAGGCCTAGTGAGCCGGATGTCCCTGGAAAAAAAACGTTTTGTAAGCAACATGTCCACCTGTTGCATGTGACTGGGCTGTCCAATTCCCCCAATGCAGGGTCTCCATGTTTCCCGCGGTCAACACGTCCTTTTGCCCAAAGATCGGATCTTCGGTCTCCCTCTCCGCCCTCCGCGCCTCGCTCCCCCAAGGTCTTGCTGATGGCTCGGACCGCAGAGCTACCTCGGACGGTGGCGGCTTCGTCCATCTCCATGGACACTACAAAACACAATCTACTGAAAAGAGGTAACCAAATGAACTACAAGTCCATCGAATCATTCTATAGGTTTTGGAATATTGAAGTACAAAGTTTTCAAAACATACTATGGGTTACCGAGATTCCCAGTGGATTTTATGACTTTCATCTGATCCGATTCTGGACAATCTAAAATATGCCCTTGAGGCAGCGACTTTCAAAACCATCCATGTATGGAAGGCCTTGCACGCACCCAACCCACTTACGATTTATAGCCCATGCATTTCCATACAAGAAAACCAGGAGTAAGGTATGTAAAGCGTTTTGACAGCCGATCCCGAAAGTACTCGAAAGCGAAAAAACGGGCGCTCACATCTGCACAACTCATGAGCACTTTACAGGAGAGAGGAGTCACAGCTAGGTCAACAGTTCAAAAGGAAGCAGGTACGTGGAGTTGATCACACTCTTCATCAGTCGTGGCATAGCCCTCTTCGTTGGGCAACCAGCTATGCTCACGAGGTTGCACTGGGAGGCAAGGCTTGTTTGTTAAGGTCCGGACGCCGATAAGAGAAAATTGCGAGATCCCCTGCAAAACCAAATGGGTTTCGCACACACACACACACACCCGGCATGGGGGGGGCCAAAAGCTAAGGGGCAGACTAGTGAATGTGGAAGCGTGCGTGCAAAAAGGGCAAAAACGAAGACGTGAGAAGGGGACGAGACGAGACAAAAGTGCTGAAACCTGGGTTAAGTGTAGATGTGTGCGCGTAGATGCAAAGGGCCGGACCGATGTGTGCGCAAAAGCAAGAACGGAGTGAGATGACGGGACATGAAGGCGGAGAAGACATGAAGTGAAAAAGGAAAGAATGTGTGTGTGTGTGTCAACCCCTGTGCCGAAGGGTTTCCACCGTCCGGTTTTGATTTTTACTTCAAGCAGGGGCACTGAGCACTCCTTGGCAAACTCAGTGCAACGAAGCTATGCCTTGGAGTGGGAAGCACGGATTGATCACCCGTGTGTACCTGCGACAATTTGGAACTGTTGAACACGCTGTCCATTTTGCTCTTTTTGTTTCCATGGTCCTTCACGCTACCTCCCCCCAAACAGGTTTTCCCGCCGTTTTGCAGCCGCTTCCACTTGCGCTTACTGTGAAACTTTGGTTAAACAATACTTTTCTGCGGACTCATGCCCCTTTCCGTTCCTTCGCCTTCCTTCTCGACTTGGGAATTGAGTTAACAGAAAACCAATGTCAGAGTGTGAACCGCTCAGTCGTCCCACTTGGGTGCTGGGTGTGATCCCCGTCACTGGGGCGCTGAAGCCATGCTGGAAATCGTGTAGCGGATTTTTCCCTTTCCACCAATCCTTGGATTCTCTTAACTGATCACGTTTCACTACTGGATCAACTGCTTTCATAGCCGCCGGGCTTGTACGGGCACCGAGATTTGTTTGCATGACCATATGCGTTTGTTGGCAGCTTACTCTGACTTTCAAGCTTGTACAGTTGACTTGCGATCAGATATTCACCACCACTATTTCACGACGTTGAGACTATACGTCCTAAAGGGACACAACGCAAAAGATTGCCACCGCTTGTTGTGAAAAAATCCACGTGCGCCGATGACGGCGACGTGTGTGTGTGTGTGTGTCAACCCCTGTGCCGAAGGGTTTCCACCGTCCGGTTTCGATTTTTACTTCAAGCAGGGGCACTGAGCACTCCTTGGCAAACTCAGTGCAACGAAGCTATGCCTTGGAGTGGGAAGCACGGATTGATCACCCGTGTGTACCTGCGGCAATTAGGAACTGTTGAACACGCTGTCCATTTTGCTCTTTTTACCTCCCCCCCAAACAGGCTTTCCCGCCGTTTTGCAGCCGCTTCCACTCGCGCTTACTGTGAAACTTTGGTTAAACAATACTTTTCTGCGGACTCATGCCCCTTTCCGTTCCTTCGCCTTCCTTCTCGGCCTGGGAATTGAGTTAACAGAAAACCAATGTCAGAGTGTGTGTGAAGGGCAAAGGACGAGAGCGGAACCAAATGGAAGGGCCGGAAAGCAACGAAGCCAAACCTATGAAGGTACCTAGGCAGACCTAGCCTGGTTTGGTATGTGCGTGCTGTACGTGCACATAGGACGGCCCCACACCGCGAAAGAACTGCGGCCGCTGTGGAGTACTTCTGGCATTCAGCCTACTCTGGCCGGGGGGCTGCTCCTTGCGTTCAGCCTGCACAAAAATTTTAACCAGGTCGTCAGGTCCTAATCAACGTTTGGCGTCAGCCTCTCACGCTCGCTGACAGCCACCGTGTTCGCGGGCAGGGGGATGAAGACAAGCCCTTGCTCAGCAAGGCCACGGAGGGCACTCGTCGGGCTCACCCCGGGCTCCCGAAGGAAAGACACTGAGACACACTCGGGAAAATTCGTTCGGAAATTGAATGCCGCATGCCACACGCCCACCCACGTAGGAATGCCGAAGAAAACCAGGAGTAAGGTATGTAAAGCGCTCTGACCAGGAGGACCTCCATCATGAATCCCAACAACTTCTACCATGGATGTTATACACATATATATATATATGTTCTTTTTCTTCCAGGTTAAAACGTCAAAAAGGGTATTGAAACTACGGAAGCAGTCTTTGCAAGTGACCAGTACGAGGCATGGTATATACATATATATGTAAATGCATATATGTACATATTTGTTCAGTAAGCTGCTGCAACTCTTCCTGGTGGGACAGCCCTCACTGCTGTGGTCCTGGTCTTCTTTTTGGGATTTGAATTGGACTGCTGTCCCCAATACTGCGCCGGCTTTTTGACTTTTGTCATTGGTTCATTTTAGGCGGTGGCTTTTGCCATTGTTAGTGGAATATCAACTGACATTGCGATGTTCGCTTTCCCTACGTCAACCCGCTCCCGGCGCACCTCCGCCGCGCTTACAAGATACGGTCTTAGTTGTTCATTAGTTATAACTAACTTACCCTAGAAGAAGTCAGTTATATCTTAGTTACAACTTGAAGTTATAACTAAGTTATGTCGTATTGATAAGTTCCATTAGTAGTTATAACTAAGATATAACTACATTCTTTTTAAAAAGGACGCCCTTCTTTCGCGTGCGAACACAGATATCTTAGCAGAATGCTCTATAACACGCCTCAGGTCACGCCTCCGCTTCAGTGAATACAGTCGATACTTTGATCAATCTGTCGCCACCAGCTCACCGGCAGCCATCGAGTCGGGTGGTCCAGTCGATGAAAAGGATTGAAGAAAGGAGTTTGGTTGACGACAGCCGGCCGACAAAGGGCCGACTCATGGAATTACAACCCTGGGGTGTGTGTGTGTGTCATGTATACGTGTGTGTGGGGCCGACATGCAGCCGACGCGGGCCGACACGGCGAAATGCGACGCTGTCCGACGCGGGGCCGACAAAGGAATACGAAAACATTATATATATATTATATGTATCGATATACAGAATGTGGAGGTATGTACAGATACAAGAAACTATCGAAGCGCGTGTAGTCCTGCTGCTGCCTTCGCATCTTTGCCATTGGCTCCGCAACGGTCGACATGCCTCAAATCCTATATATTTCAGGGACACTTGAACCAAAGTCTGCACAATTTTTTTCTATAAAACATAATTATTGTAACTACGAATAACTAGAAATAACTTCGTGTAACTAAGACCTAACCAAGTCAATCTTCCACCTAACTACACCCGGTTTAGTTATAACTTACTTACATCTCACTTGTTCTATCCTAACTTAGTTATAACTTTATGTTACGTTCGTTAAGTATAACTATAGTTCTACATACTTATCCTAATACAAGTTCTGTTATCGAAATACAAGTCAACTTGTAGTTCCATAACTAAAGATATAATTTACTTACAACTAAGACTGTAAAGCGGAGTTGTTCCGCCGCCTCGATCGCCCAGCGAGGCTTGACCCGGCTTGGAAGTTTCTGAAACCTATGCTTTCGCTCAACGCCTGCCCGCTGAGGTGGCCACGCTCCACCTCCTCGCGTCTTGCGTCGGGCGTCAAAGTCGGTGATACTCGTCACCGCACGCCAATCGCCCGTGCCGACAAACAAGGCTAGCGAACAACCTGGAAGAGGCTATCGCGGCAGTACGGTTTCTGTGCCTGCACCCACCGCTTGATCTGGAGGACGCTATTCAGACCATAGTGCGGGTTCCTGCGAGAAGGGTGGTGAGTGGAGGCGGAATAGAGCGGGGCACGTTTCTAGCTGTCTGCAGCCACTCTTGTTCGTATGGCTATGCCGCCGACCAGAGGCGGCCGTCTCACGAGTGATAGGCCCTGCCTCTGGCGCATTGCGGCCGCCTTCAATGGCTACCTGCGGTGCAGCTGATGCGGTGGCTCCACTGTCCAAGAGTCCCTTGTTGAACGGAATGGCCTTGGAAGAGTTTGCAGACTGCAGCTCATGAGCATCATGAAGTTCCAGGCCAGCCGCATAAGATAGACACGCTTCGTGTGGGAATGAAGCCACAATATTTTCCGTGGCTCAATTTCCTGGCTGAGTAATCGGCTGTGCCGTGATAGGCAAGAAGCCATGGAAAGACATCGAAAGTGGGAAGTCCAGCGATGCCTGCACGGCGGGACCATTGAGTGGGTTGTATGGTGCGGTGAAGTTGGTGGCCATGTAGGGCGTTGGAGTCCCAGCAAGAATGCATGTTCTCATGTGTGTGGAAGCCCTGGAAGCCTTTCATCACGCCAGTCATCAATCTTGGTGGCTTTTCCAATAAAGGACCCGTATATCCAAAGAACTGTAGATCCAAGAAGACCCGCCGTGTCATGGTAGGGCGCTCCTGCATCGATGCCCTGGGAGACAAAATAAAGGCAAAGGTCGGCAGCACGAGGCGGACGCAGCAGTGCACACAAGGCAAACACACTTTGGATCCGCAGCGGTAAGCTGATTGGGGAAATTAAATGCCATACCCAATTAAACAGCGTTTGTTGTGGACCGATCAAAGATTTTATAATCTTCTTGAATTATACACTACACACACCAGAGGTCAGCTTGGGCGGAGCTTGGGGGAACTGATTGATTTTATATAATAGGTACCCCTCCATCACCACCAATCGTGCCCATCACTAGCGACACGCCGCATTTACACGCATGTGCACCCTTCCCCAATGGCACGGAGAAACGAAGGCCTCGCGCAAACACCACCGAGGCCTCGCCAAACGGCACGGCACAGCGACATCACCTTTCGAAATCTTTCGTTGTGAGCCTGATGGAGAGCTTGCAAGTGAAGAATATCGAAGAATCACTAATTTTGTGCATGAGAATGGGTCTTGTAAAGGGAAAAAGGCCTGCGATGTTCGAGGTTTTTCCATTTTTTGATTCAAGTTCACTAGAGGTTTTGGTCTGTCAAGCGTTCTATCTGGCGACTTTTTGGTTTTGAAGCTCGACGCCCAGCTGGTCCATCGACCCGCGATGGAAGGGCGATTTAACCAAAACGACGCCCGGAGTCTTCGAAAACGACGGGGAGAGCGGCGTGCTTTCAATAGTTAGGTGGAAGGAATCGCAGAGAAAGGCTCATGGAGCCTCCTAAGTAATTAGGGGCCGGACCCTCATATGGAGGGGTCCGGACCCTCAAATCCCTAGGATTTTGAGGGACCAGTCCAGCTGTTTGGAGCGAAATTGTATTCTTCTTGCTCTTCCCGCCTTCCGCGGCCCCAGCCTGACCAAGCTCGACCGAGCCGCCATAGTTCGAGACGCCCACAGCCTTCACCAAGCCCTGCTCGTAGCAATCGCCCAGACCATCCCAAAAGACCTGCGTCTTTCGTCGCCGGAATGCGCGAACGAGCGGAACGAGACGACATCCCGACTTGATATTAACCCAAACGCTCCATATATGGCTACATTGACCCCCCTGGCACCACCCCAACTGATCGGCATATATGGCAGTCCCATGGAGAGTCTGGGTAAGGTACATGGCCTCCGTCAATGAGGTTGAGGGCCGCCTTGCACGGAGTCTTAAGATCGGTGGTATCCAGCCAACCGATGGAGCGAGCGACCCACCCATCTGATTTTCCGTCCACGGCCTGAGCCACCCTTGCCCATTCAACTTCCGTTCAACCATTTTATCTTCAACTAGTTCAACATATGCAGCATCTGGACAACTTAAAACTGTGCAAGAAAATCCCCCTTCTCATCCATAAAACAAGCCCCCCAAAAGCAGAATTGTATGCAGAGTTGGAATAATGTTCGCTACTAGGGGCTCCTGGCCTTACTACTAGGAGCAAGGACGCTACTAGGGGCTCCTGGCCTTACTACTAGTAACAAGGACGCTATTAAAAACAATAACTAAAATAGAATTGAAACAAGAAGCTGTCAGTTCTTAGTGCATTTTTTCAGTGCGTTCGGCCTCTACACTCTTTGAGCAACAATCTGTTTCAGCGCCCGTTTACCAAGCGGAACACCCATGTCTGTTGGTTTTGTTTCTGTTTAGTCTTGAGCTTGGAAAAACTATATACTACTGTCTAATGACTTAGGCCAACGTGATGCAAGTGACATACCAATCTGGCTACCCCCAGGGCTAAGTCATGTGCCCTGACATATCGAGCAAAAAAAATGTCTGGGTTGGGAAACCTGGTGTCATAGGACCTGTGGACACCTCCTCGACAAAAAATGTAAAACAGCTAAATAATGCTAGATACCACTGCCTGGCACCCTGGTGACACAGTGGTGACATAGGGTGCGACTATGTGTTGCTTCCTTGAATACCTCATACATATTTCTATGAATATCATGGTTGTGGCCTGATGACATAGGCCTTAAGAGGAAATGCCAATGTTGGATCAATCCTGATGACATAGGCTTTTGGAATTGGCGTGTATGTCCGACAAGTCCTAAGTTACTAGTCAGTAGTATAGTTCGTTCTGTTGCTTTTTCATCTCTAAGCCTAAGTTCTAATGCCTTTCAACATTGGGAGCCTATCTCCGTTCATTTCAAGCTTGGAATCATATCCGTGAATTTCAAGTTTCAGGTTCCTGCACTTGGACGTCCAGAAAGCTATCTCTTTGTTTTTGATGTTAGCTTTAAGCTATCTCTGATACTTTGAACACTTAATTGGACAAACATAGCATGTCTGTTCATTTGTAAGCCTAGGACGGCTATCTCTGTTCAAGTCCAGTCAGCCATTTGGATCAGTTGGCGGACCAAACAGCTACTAACCCGCAGAGGTGCAGGGGTATGTGGGCCCTGCTGACGTGTCCCACCCTGCCAACCCCCCAAGCCAGCCCGCCTCATTCTTCCACACCTCAGTCAGCGTGGGCCCCGAGGGTGACGGGTCTGAAACAGGGCGATGGGGGTAGAGTCGGACAGCTGGGGCGACCAGTCGAGTTGTCCAAGACGATGTTCCTCCGGGCGAGTTATCATAGAAGTGGAACATCACTCAGTGGTTTATAGAGGAATATGAGCCACCTTGGCTGTGACGGACTGGGACCGCACGTCGCGCAGCCAAGAGGAATATGGTCTTTGGTCTTCCAAACTTCCTCCCTGGAGTCCAATCCGTGCGTCCGGCCTTCGATCATCCTGTTGGGGCCATTCCGTCCAGGTTGGCCGAATGCGAATTCCATGGACTGTAGCAATTCTTGATTGTACCGGTGATGTTGCACCCTGGAAGCAACGAGATGTGGCTGTGACCTCTGATTTTTCTAGTGGTCTGGTTATGCCAAATGCCTTAGACATGATGGTGATTTCCTTGTAACTTGCGCAAACACGGTTGCAGTTGATTGTGAACTGTTTCCCTAGGGCTCCAACTACCTTCTGAGGAGGTGTTTGAGGTGGGTTTGAAGGGTCTATGACCACCATCTGTCATCCTGATTGATAGGCCTTCCAATGTCCTTGTGTTTCCATTTGAGGACACATCATATCTATGACCTGACTCCTAAGCCAGTCATTCCGGTCACATACACTCGCTTAAGCGAGTTCCGGTCTGCCTTCGTATATGGTTTGGGCGGAGGGGTCAAACTGGTCAAACCCATTCCCAAGCAGAGTTGGATGAGCAAATGCTGATCCACGGTTTTTTCACCTGTTTTTCTATAATTTCTGTGAAGACCTTGGAGGGTGAAGTGGAAACCACACCTGCAGCCTCCGCCCGGTCCACCGATCCTGTGGCCGTTCCGCCGATCCGTGCGAGTACGGGGCCAAAGCGCCGAAGGAAAGTGGATCTGGTAGATGTCGATGGAATCCATCCCTGCATGGTGAGCTCGCTTTGGTGTCGGGAAAACGAAGTGAAGCATGTCCCTAGGCCTAGAGGTCGATCCATCTTTGATTTTAACATCTTTTAATAGCCTCAAAATCCAAACAACCATGTTGTTTTGCTAAGGGGGTTTGCACTACAAGACCAGATCAACCATTTTTAACATGTCTTTGACTTCCAGGGATGCCTTAGTTGTGAAAGCAGGCCGGATTGGGTTTCCTTCCCAAACGCCACCTGTCTGGGACATATTGACCGAACAGTCGGGGGCGGTTGAAGTCGGGGTCCCATGGAGTGTTTGGGCTGAGAGGAGAGCAAATATGTTTTTTCTATGTTTTTTATTGGGGGGATGGACAGCCCAAAAAGGTAAAAGAGGGACTCTTTAACATCTGTGAGGGATAGTCAGTTTATTAGTTGATCCCTCCTTCCAATATGGGATTTCTGGGTTTCGTCAGCCCCGCTATGGTTTTCTCTCAAAACCGTCCAACTGGTCTCGCAAGCCGCTTCCGTCCAGCTGGTCTCGGGTGTTTGACCGATCGGCTAACGGACGTTCCAAAGCACTTGCAGTAGTGAACACGGGCGATCCACACACACACACACACCCATCCCACTTCAAAGAACAGGCGCCACAAACCTTTCCAGGCCCCCCCCCCGCAAAAAATAGAACTCCACAACGTCTAACCCACGCTCCAAAACAGCGTATATAGTAGCGTCATCAAAGTGAACCCCACCCCCTTGAAAACGAGCACCATCTCCTTACGCCACAGTCTACGGGATGCTTTTTCCCAGATCCCACTCAAACGGCGCTCTCCAGTCGTGCGACTGGCGCCGACCTCCAGTCGGATGGCACCCAGCCAGCGCAACGCCGTGAAGGCTTTTCCACCCAGCCCGCCCGGGTCGTTCACAGACGGAACTCGTGCGACGACGAGTCCGTAGGGAATGAGGGAATGAACCGGTCGTGTACATACCTCAGGATCCATTCCGTTATTCCTGAGTCGCACGTAGTCAGTAGTACTGGGCGTGTTCTCTCCAAGCGGCCCAAGCGCTCCAGGGAACCTTTGCACGCCTTGACCACCTGGCCAAAGCCGCCGGTCACGCCCGCTGGCCGGCTATGGGCGGTGTAGCTGGGGCGGGGTGTGAATCCCACCCACACGGCCAGCTACGGCTACGGCGGGGGTGACCCCAAGAGATCCAACGCCCAAACACTCCATGGCACTGCCGATTCGGGTGCCCAGGGGGGTCTGGTTTGTCTGGTTTGAGCAGTCCGTCCTGGCAGTCCCATGGAGTGTTTGGGACCTGTGGTGGTCCCCGGATTGATTGGTTTGACTTGAAAAGCTCTATCCAGGGATCACTACAAGACACACGCTGCGGTGGTCCCCTGTCTTCAGTGATGAAAGACTGGAAAGTGAAACAAATACCGCAGTGGGAATGAGGGGATCTTAGCTTCTGTCATCTCCTGTCTATGCAAGGCAAGTGCATGGCAATCCCTGTCCTTTACAATCCAATGGAAACTCGAGGTAAAGAAAATGGCGTGATGCTCATTTGCTTCTCATCCCAAGACTTGCGTCTGAACCACTTCGGGTTCAGCACGTTGAGTAGCGCGAGTGCATCGAAGGACGCGTGCATCGAACACACGGACTACTTGACAAACAAAGAGGCCCAACAGCTCAAACCGTCCATGGGACTGGAATAATAGTAGCTACATTGAGTCGTTCAATGATACAGTACATATGTATCAAGGTACGGTATATACCTGGACCCGACTTCAAGTACCTTGCAACAATGGAACATGACGGCACCCACTCCAACAAAACCAAAACCAGCACAGGCTCCGACGCGCTTCGTCCCCACACCTCAGCGACCGCGAACCGGTTCGACTCCGGCACTGCGGTGCGGTGTGCGGCACCTCTGAGCGGTCCAGCTTCCACGGGAAGGCCGCGAACTTCGTGGCGACCTGCCGTGCCGGTTCCGCGCGGTGCGGACCGGCTCGGTCGTCACAGGAGCAGGAGAGGCGGAGGCACACGGCGGGCGGCATTCGTTAGGGGATGTGTTCGTTGGAGGACATGGCCGTTGACCTTGGTGGGGGGGAGGTACGTGTGTGTTTACAAGGTGGATGTGGCTTGGAACCGGGGTGAACTGCGCTTGGAAGTGTCGGAAAAGACAAAGACTTCGGGCGGGCCACAGGAGTTCGGTAGATGGAGGTGGAGGTGGAAGTTGGGGCTTTTGTGGCTTGGAATCTATCCACAACTAATAGGAACAAACACCGATTCTGATCAAGAATTCGGGGTGAACTTGCTCAATGGGATTCTGTAGGATATGTTCTAGGTCTAGGTACTACCTATAGAAGAGTCTTCGCCCTAGCCTGACTCCCTCTTGAAGTGTACCATCCCTCTGGGTATGGTCTTTTCACGAACCAAAAAAACCAAAGTCCCCCTTCCTCCACTTCCATGATTGCTAGAGGGACAATATATTTTTAGATACTTTTTTCGGACCACCGGGCTGCACACGCTGCCCCAATCGATAGACGCCCCCACTTAACTGTGGACCCGTCCAGTGGCTGAAACAAGACCGTTACTGTGAAAGAAAACACCGACCGCCAGTGAGAACTTGCGATAGGTGCGCGTTTTTAAGAATAGGGATACCGACCGCCGGCGTTCCCGGAAGAAAGGAACTAGACATAGACCAGTCTTCCTTGGCTTTCCTGCCACAGAGATTCTACACACCTCTCTATCATATGCACCCCGCGAACACTTGGTGAAGGATCCTGTCCTGCTCAGAAAGTCTGCTTTCCTTTAAATGTCAGATTGATTCAGATTGAAGCTTTAGGAATTCATAGCTGCCTTTCAAGGTTTGGGGAGGAAACGCCACTTGACCTTTTGAGAGATCTTTCATGAATGGTATTGGACAAGAACTTTATTGGCTAAACGTCTGGATGCGTCTATAAAGACATTCTACTTGCACACATATGCACACATCTAGAGCCGTCCTCAGCTGTTTGTTACCCCATAGGGTGTGCTGCCACTGGCTTAGTGCTAAACCAGCGCAACACGCGAAGGCCCCCAAGCAAGCTCAGCAAGACACTTCCCCAACAAGGACTTGATGCGACAAGCAACCGGAGACATATCACTTGTCACACTGATAAGAACCAATACTACAAGGCCTTCGAAGGTATGGTTCTCATGGCCACGGAGGCCTCGCCCAATCTGAGACTAACTTTTCGCCAGCCGAAAGACCAAGAAAAACCCGGTCGACTCAGCTGGCGCGAACAACAAGGTCGAATCAGCTGCGCAAGACCGAGCGCCTCCCTCCACCGGATCCCGTGGTACCGGATCCTGTGGTCCGTAACCGGTGGGTACCGAGCAAGGTGACCGGTGGGCGTAGTTTCAAACCATAGACCAAAAGCGATTGGTTAGATGCACGAACCACCCTGGACTGACTCTCCTGGCAACCCACCCCAGTCTTACCTCACCAGCTACTTGGAGCCCAAGTACGGGGGATGAGCATGGTGAAACGAATTGGAACGGACAAGAAAACCATGTCAAGGTGCCTAAAGGCTGTTCACTCCAACCCAAATACTCCTGATGGGACTGGCGTATGACACCGTGGTTGAAAAGGGGTCAATGTAGGCATATACACCATACACATGCAGTCTTTGGGAATCAAACGTAACCTGTTCCAGGCCCGCTCAAGGCCCGCTCAATCTCCCCCGACCTGCACATCCTTCGCGCCGCTCTCGCGCAAGAACTGCCCCAGCAGCTCCTCACGAAAGCTCTCATAGAACTTGGGCACTTAGGCACTTTCCGCCAAACTCACCACCTCTTCTCTCTTGATGGAAAGCAACACATTCAAAGACAGGTGTTCTGGCTGTTTAGCATCTAATGCTAGTTTGCTTCGCCACACGAATTGCGGGTAGGGAGGCCAGACTTATGAGAACCCCAGACTTTTCGTATCTTGAGGTTTTGAGTTTTGACCATGCCAGTGAGTACGCAATTGTATGCTCAATGTCTCAAACACATCTGGTTCCTTGGCAACGTCCATTCTGGTCAGCACCCCAGCGTTTGAGGATCGTCCTCTACAGTTGACGTTTGGGGGTCCCTCTTTCTTTTCCTTAGCATTTCACCAAGACGTTGCCCCTCCAGCGATCCACATTCTGGCACACGTTGCACGTTGTGCTCCGGCAAACCCTCCAGAAAGGGCTATTGAGTGATATGATGAGTGTGGGTTGACCAGGTTTGGGTCTCAAAGTAGTAGGATGACCCTGTTTCTCTTCCAGGTCAAGGTATACCAGAGCACCAGGTGCCATGAGCCCCACCGAAGAAGTCGAAGTGGCTTCTTCAACTCAGCTGACCCACAACACCAACAGCTGACCCGGCAGTGATGGTGAAGAAGAGCCTTGGAATATAGCTGTCCCACTAGTCAGCTCAACGGATTGCTTCAAGGGAACATCGGACACCATGGCTTTCCAGAAAGCATCCAAACTCTATGGCTTTCCTGCGCAACTCTATGGCTTCCTCTAGATGTTGTCCTCAATCACAACAAAAACACTGGGACCCATCCACTGAAACCCACCAACCCATCAACTTCCGGAGACTCCGGGACAAACCGTCCGCTCTTTGTCGCGTGCCCGCGCGCGTGGGTCGAAGAGTTTCTTGTGCCTCGCTGCGGCCAGGGCCATAGATTTCCGCCGTGTCGAAGAGCTTCACGCCGCCCTTGATGCAAGCATCGAAGCCTGGCGAGGGCGACTTGCACGAGCGAATGAATTGGGCGGGGCGACTGGGCGCCGACGAATTGGGCAGGGGGTGACAAGCCCTGCATGCAACTTCGGTTGGTGGTGGTTTTCAAACAGCCCATTGGAAAACAGCTTTATTGTGTGCAGAAGGGCTCACATGTGTGATCGTGTGTGGGTCTTGGTAGGCCTTCTGTCGAGAGGCGCTCGAAGCTGCACGTAATTCGTTATTAGACCCTGCAAAAAGTCGCAGGCGAATCGCCCTTGGCTTCAGAGAAAGAAAAGTCTTGGTAGGCAAGGGAATGAGAGGTCCATGGTTAGGTTTTAGATGGTTTTAGGTTGCTTTCTCAATGACCTGGAGTCAAGTTAGATTGCACGCTTCAGGGGATTCCACACAGAAAGGGTCCTTTGGCAAGAAAACAAGCTTTCCTGAGAAGGAAAACGGTTTACTGTTTCCGAACACCAAACAGGGGACGTTCCAATTTCCACTGGAGGGAAGGTCAACTAAACTTCGGGGAAGGTCTACCACTGCGAAAATGCTTTTCTCAGTCTCCCTGGGAAGTGAAGGTTCACCAACATGTTCCACCTGTTCTATCTTTAGGGTGTCCCCCTTTTTCCACCCAAAAAGAACAGTTGGGGGTTTTCGCAGGAAGGTCATCCACTCATTGAACTCGGGTTTGTGCTCGCCTGGGCGCACCCCAAGACTTGGCTCCCGAAGTCACCACGAAACCCTCGGGAAAACCCTCTGTCCTGCACGGATCTCCAAGTCTTGCTTTTCATCCTCGGCGAAGGTCTGTGAGAGTCGAGTCCTTGCGATTTTGGGGGGCGCGCCCCCAAAGACCAACATGGTCTGGTGCATGATGTTGAAACATGCTGTGCAATGAAGAATCTAGGATCCTTGGATCAATCTTCCAATCAAATTCCACTCATTCCACCCACTTAAAAAGCATCTGGGAACAGAACATCACTCACATGTCTGTTGGTCATGGCACCAGGATACCTTGCTTTGAAACCGCTTGGAAGGTCGTTTTGACCCAGGCCCATCACCGAAAACACGGTGTTTTGACGCATCCTTCCTCCGGCAGTCTGCCGGGCCCAGCCGCCTCCTTACATACCTTGTTCCATCCAGTATCCATCCAGCGTTTTGGGAACATGGGAAAAGCTGGCGGCTGGCGCAACCAGTGGCGCCCTGGCAAGGGGATTCATCCAGTTCGGGAAACGGTCGATATCACCCTATGCATCCAGTTCGCAACTCCAGAGCACCGTGGTGAGAAGGGACCGACAGCAGTCCACGGCAGTCCTCCCATGGCTTACCCAAATCCGCTCAGTCCCCACGAAATCGTCGCACCCGTCAGTCGAACCAAATCGAACCAAACAGAACCTGTTAATGACATCCTCACCCCCAACCTCCCATGCCCCCCTTCCCCCCCTTCCCTGCATCCCAAGACTCGTAGCCCCAGAAAAGGCGATCGCCCCAAGCCCACGCGCCGACACCAAAGCTGGGCACCTGCGTGGATGTCTGTTCGCGACGCGGGGCTTTCCGCGCGGAACGCCGAGGATCGTGCTGATCGTGGAACTTGGTTTTTGGGGGGTTGATCATCGAAAGTCCCCTAGGGCTCCTGGCCCACCTCCTGAGGAGGATATGGTTGGAGCCCTATTTTTTTCGGGGTCGTATAGTTTGGATTCACTGTCCAACCGGACATACCTGCATCCTCGTTTGGGCTCAAGAAAGTGTGGGCCCCCAATCCCTCAATTTTTTCCGCCGCATCCCACCAAAAAAGACCGAGGACCTGAAACAACATCCAGATCCAAGATTCCGAAAAAACAGGGATGGTGAAAGGTTGGATCATGCACAAGCAAGCTGCCTTTGGTTCGCTTTTCGGAACACATCGCCACCGTGCCACAGGTGTGGCAGAACGACCGAGGAATTCGCCGTTCCTGGCGAATCACCAGCGGCTCGTGTCCATTTCGGGTGTCGGATTTGGAGCTCCAGGGTGGACACAAACCGCCCCTGTTCAAGTGGTTTTGGGGTCAAACGCGTCGAGTTCACACATGGCTGTGTCAAACATGGCTGTCCTGACTCTCCTGACTCTTGGAGATGTTCCACACAGAGAATAGCAAGCCGCCCGAGGAACAATCAAAACCAATACCCTCAAAGCATTTTCTGACCACGTGCGGCAACCCAGAGCCCGCAGTCACAGGCTTTTGGCAATTCCAAAGGCATGGTAGGATGATCACTACCCAAAGCCTTGCTCATGTTGGATGGTTGCGTGTTGATAATTACCCGAAAGTAGGTGCCTTTAGTTAGCTTGTGTTTGGGCAAAAAAGATGACTTTCCGCAGAGCATTCCCCCCAAGGCAGGGCAGCAATACCTCAAAAAAAGTGACGACATGGTCTTTGGCCTGTATGCCATCTTTGCCTACATTGCGGGGGGTAGGCAATGACTGGGTCAATGTAACATAATGTCCGCTCGAGTCATTGCGCGCGTTGCGACGAAAAAACCTGCACTGTGGGGTAACCTGCACGGGTTTTGAACAACCAACCCTACCGAAGAACCAGTTGTTGTACTAGGCGTTTGACACTAGAAAACCAGGTCTACTTTGATTTACTAGACCTATGGATCCAGTGTCACCCTCTTTATGAAGATGATAGGTGCCAGGAGTCCACGACAGGAACGTACCGAACCTGAGAAGGTGGTGGATCCGCAGATCCGCAGGGAACGTGTCTCACCAAACCGGAGAACGAACCTTCTCTATAATCTTCTTGTATTGTAGAGGGCCCAGTGCATCCGAGGCAAACCACTCTATAAGCAACCAGGGATTCGTTCGGTCTATGGTTTTAGTCGAACTGGAACCACGGTTACCAGCTATAGTGATAACTGGATGCCCTGGGGGGCATAGGACTACTTTTTATCCTGCTCCCTTCCCCTTGCAGCGGGAACTATGGATACCTCTGGCTCCACCATCCTATGCGGACCACAATCGCTTCCCACACGTCAATATACTTTAAACCTGCAACAACAAAAAACAGGGTTTCCTGTTTCCTGTAGTCGTGATCAGCTATTGTGTAGGGTGGTAACCACTTTGCTATGACATCTCTCAGGTCATCCTAATACCTTGAGACTTGCACGGTGTTCACCTGAAATACAAAGCCTGTTCTTCTGTAACAGTGCTATTATATCCGTTATGAGGGCGTTGACACGTTCAATTTACACTAACTGTTGCTCAAAACTGGATTCTTGATAGTTCTTGTATGTCATAGTTTGCTCTGTTACATTCTCCCTGTTGTCTTGACAACATCTCTTTGACCTCCTGAAAGCCGTCCATCCGGTGCACCTGCAGCCGCGCCGCAGTTTGTGCGTCCGCCGTCGTGGACAGCCCGAGCAGTGGCGCGGCGACTGGAGCGGCTGAGAGCAGCTCACGGCGACTGGCCAATGGCGGTGGCTGATGTGTTCGACTGAGAAAGAGTATGGGGCATACTTTGGGTCTATCCACGTCGATTTTCCTGCGCCCGGATGATGATGGGGTCTGGTTGCAGGCCGACATCTCTATAATGATCACATTTTACTTGTTTACCGAATAGGACAAGCCCAAGGCATACTGATCAACTAAGGCTACATATAGACGGGTCACAAAAAGAAGCCATCAACATGAACATTTTACAATCCAGCAACGAACGGGGCGTTGGCCCCTAAGCGGTGATTGCCCTGCGCTTCGCGGCTGTTCAAGCGGCCCTTGATCTAGATCTGTTCGTCAGAATTAGGCAAAGTGGCGGTTTGTTCTGGTTTTGGCTTCCGGCCTTTAGGTGTTGGCTGGAAGCCCCATTGGAGGGAACTCTGTTGGCATCTGGCTAGATGGAGGGTGCAAAAGGGTATCATAAACAATAGCCGGAGAAATGGCCACAGGTTTTTGGCTGTCCGTGGTTGTGACAAAGAATTATATAGTTTTTTTTTTCTTTCAGATTTGATGTGTCTTATTGAAAAACACACCAAACATTATGCATTTTTCATTTTCAGTAATTCGACTAAATTAAAATTTACTAACCTTCGAGACTCAGGGCACAATGGGACACACCTTTTTTCCAAAGCAAAAGTTCAGTGAGCAGCGGCAGGACCTGGGTCATCAAAAGTCTACAATCACCCTCAACAGCTCGGACAATCACTGGTATTTCTGGCGTCCCTTGGAGTGATCGTTTTGACAAAGCCGGGCCGCCAAGCTACTACGTCGCCAAACGACTCGGACCGTCCGACGCGTCCCTGTCACTCCTTAAGCCGGTCCCACCTGCCCCGCCTCACGTGCGCCCTCCGCTTCACCCGCGCGGCACACCGCCGCGCCGACCGCGCGGTCGTCGCGCCGGCGCCCAGCGCCGCGACGACGGCCGCGGCCGCAGCGGACGCCCGTGGGACGGGCGCCGGGGCGACGTCCTGCGGTCGAGTCATGGGAGCGTGGCATCTGAATCGGAGCGTGGCTCCTATAACCCCCAGACCGACATTGCCATGGGCATCAACTCAAACATTGAGTGTGAGGGGGAGCAAGGGCCAGTGGGTGGTTGCAATGCATTACGAAAGGTCCAGTGCAACTGGCCAGGCCTTAAGAGATGTATTAAGACACGCATTGACATCATTGAGTTGCCGACCAACCAAGCAGAGGTTGAAGAACCCTATAGACCATCCTATAGGTAACCCAGTAGGGTCCTATAAGGTCACTTAGCCTCTCGTGGACAAGCTGGTTCCACCAGTCGGACACCGTGAATGCGATCTGAAGTTCATGCACATGGTCGAGATGAACCTACGCATCGATGAGTGCCTGACTCATGACACATGCAGGGATCATCGAAACAAAGCGCGTCCAAACCATTACTCTATGTGGCCAACAGTGAACAAAACTTCATCCCTGATCATCCTGTTCTGGCAACGCCTTTTTCCACCTGTTCTGGCTTGTCCCCAAATGTCCCAGTCCGTTCGGTTTTGCCTGCAGCTGATCCACTAACTTCCTTCCTGGCTAACCCTTGTAGACTCTTGATTAGTAATAACCCTCACCACTTGAATTGGACATCCCCATTCATCTATGGGGGGTGGTTGAATAATCAAATAAGTCTACCTTACCCTCTTCATGTCCATTTCCGAAACCTGGCGAGCCCGACCCTCTCCAGATGTTTTTTTGGCTCGTGGCCCAACCTCCCCAGAAGACCTCCGTCCTTTGTTGCCGAAGGTGGACACGGCTGCGATGAGATCGCGCCACTCCACGGTCGGACGAAGGTTGCAATGGCGGACATGGCGAGAAGTTGGGCCAAAGGGAAAAGCTTAGCTGTGGGAGTCCTTTTCTGAAAATCCATGGGTGTTTAAGGGTGTTCTTCCTTTTCTAAACATCCATGGGTGTTATGTTTAAGGGTCTTGACATGTTTTGACCCAGCAACCGTTACGTCAAAAGCATTGACCCGAAGGATTGATTCCTGGACTACCGTTTTTTAATGGTGAGCGAACGATCTATGGCTTGAATTTTAGACTCCAACACCAGCTCAACCGTCATTTGTTCAAATTCAATTTTTGTGGTTTGAACCATGTCGAATGGAACAAAAGCTTAGGGTCAGGTGGATTGGCTGGGTACCCCTGTATTCTTTAAGAGGGGAAGAAGTAGAAAGGACCAAATGCCTGCATGCTGCGACGTGTTCGGCCATGTGTTCGAAGGTGGACTTTCAAGGTCTATAAAAGAACACCTGCCATAAAGACGGTTGGACCGCTTCATCAACTGCTTCTGATCCATGCACAAGAGGAGCCTATATATCATACCCCCTCGCCTCCCCGTTGACATCTGGCAAAAGTAGCAATGTGGATAGGAATGGATAGGATCATCAAACATTCCAAGAACTGAGATTTTATGCAAACCACACATGTACAGTTGCAACAGCACCCCGGATGAACACTTGTTTGAAGCAAGCGCATGACAGGTTTGGGCGCAAGTGGGACAATCTAGCAATCTAGACATCTGATTTGTCAAATTACCTCTGGTTTTGGTTCGTCCCCAACTTGGGGATCACTGGATCATTGTTTTAAGGCTCGGTTCTTCTCCACCCTAAGATTCTCCACTAAATGCTGCTCTCAGAACCTGCACACCTGCATCCCGACGGGAAGCAACCATGAAACTACACAAGTGGACGCTCCGTCCTGCGCCATCCTGCGCTTTGCATGGCGCCCCCTACCTCCGTTGGGACCCAAATCACCGAACTGTCTACCTTGCTGTCCCGACTTGTTCCCAAATCTGGTGGACCATGCGTGATCCACTCTTCTGTCCCACCCAATTCCACGCCGAGCCGAACCAGGCGGGCGCCCGACCCCTCCCCAGCCCTCCCCCTCGCTCCTGTGTCCCGGACGGCGTGGCGCCCGTGGAGTCTTGGGCCTGGAGGTCTCCGTGCTTCGCCAAGAGCGCCTCCAGGACCACCTGGATGGGCGTTTCCGGGCGGTGTCCCAGGAGGTGAATGGGACAGACCAGGGCCTTCACTAGCTGCTAGCTCAGGAGGGAGCGAGCTAAGGAGCCAGGGGCAGCTCAACAGGGAGCCGAGGAGCTACAAGGAGTTCCCCAAGCCCGTATACTAGTTCAGGAGTGGGGTGGTTGTAAATGGACATCCCTTCACTAACGGCTGTTTGGGGCTATCAATAGACACCCCAAACGGAGGGTTCTGGGAGGGGAAAGGGTGTAGTGGCCTAATTAAGTTGACGCTGCTCCAAAGAGTTCTTTCTTCTAAACGTACGGTCTTTCCTCTTGCGCACACCACCTTAATTATTTACGAATCATGTCTGTAAAGCAGCTTCTGAAAAAATAAGAAACACACATCATTCTCCCAACAAATACTTTGTGGATCACAGAACAGCTCCTCGCCCTCTCTCACGCCCTCTCTCTCTCTATCGCTCCACCTTCAGCGGGCCCAAAGGCACGCTGCCGTGGCTCGCCAGGTTCACCGCGCGGTGCAGCGGCGTCTCCTGGGTGGAGGTCGGTCGTGTGTGTTTGGTGGGTTTGGCCTTCAGAAGTGTGTTTGGTAGGCCCCTACCAGGACCCACTGTCGGGGTGGTTCATGCACACCCCGAATCACCTCTAAGGATCTCTAAGGAGCTTATATATGGCATCCTGGTGGATTGTGTTGTTTTTTTGGGGGGGGAGGGGCGGGGCTCCAGTGAAAGGACAGCGAGGACAGCGAGTCGGAAGAGCGTCGGTCGAAGGGTCAACTCGACCGTTCGAACACCTACAGGTCAGACCGGGTGTCGAAGACCTCATTGAGTAGTAACTCATGTAGTGCATTTGACCCACTCCAGTAAAATGAGGTCAGTTCCTGACTTGTAGGTTTCGAGGAAACACGTTTCACGACGCTTGCAGCCAGAGTGGTTTCCATGCCATCAGGATCGAAGGACACTAGTGGACGAAGCGTATGAAGGTTTTTGGCTGTGGCAGGGGGCGCACGAGTTCGAGATCCCTCAATGGCGTCTGAAAAAAATCGTGTGTTGATGGAAAAACTTAGGAAAAACACCCGGGGTGCCCTTGGTCTCTGCCCCCCTTGGGATTCCAACAGCCATTTTTACCGAAGAACCAGCTGTGTTACCAAGGATTTTAGGCAACAAGAGCAGGCGAACCCATCGGTCTTTGAAGGTTAGGGTATACTTGGGGTTTAGGGTTTAGGGTCAGGTTCGTCAAAGTGCTCGGCACGAGGAATCAAGCGCTCGCACGAACCGGAGCACTCGCACCGGCCTTGGTGTCATCATCCAGGATGCAATCGCACCGGCCTTGGGCCATCGGATTGTGTGGGTCAAAACCAAAGCACCGGTTTCGTTTGTTTCCCACCGAACATGAACAGAATACGTTTCGCCAGGTCAACCTGCCAGAACTTGGACCCACAAAGGACTTAAAAGGGTCCCCCTTTTTTTCGTTCCCTCAGGTGGTGGCCAGGCCCGGCTAGGCTAGCACACCCACCCTTTGAATGTCCGAGCAAAGGGGTTCACTCTCACGCTTTGGTGGATGAAGAAAATCAGGCGAACCAAACAAGTGAAATCTTCGCCACATCTCAAGTTCAGGACTACCTACTTTTAGTCTTCGTGGCAAGCGAGCCTCTGCAAAATAACGCAGTTCTTCGAACATGGTAGCCAAAATGACCAGGAACCTACGTATTGATCAGTATTTTGATGTGGCCAATAGGTAACAATGAAAATCTATAATTGTGTATATTCATATATGGTGATCCCAAAAATAGAAAGCGGCACGGTTTCCAAAACATTTTTGACGTGGATCATCTACCTTTTCTAGCTACTTGGGTTCCAAGCCAGTGTAAGCAACTCAAAAAACATCAAGGCAACAGATCAGAGAGTGTAAAGTTCGACAAGGACGAGTCCGAGGTAGCGCCCACGATCACAGGGGGAGAAAGTAGAGGGAAAAGTCGTTCGAGGGGAAGAGAAAGTAGAGGGAAAAGTAAACGGTGGAGGGAAGAGAAGGGGGTCGGTTAGCTGGCCGTTGTCGGAGGCCCAGCAACAATTGTCGAAATTCTCCTTTTAAAAGCGCATTCTCTACAAAAGAACAAGACATCCTCTTGCTGGCAAACCAGGCAGGTCATGATATCCGGACGGCGCTTAAATTGCATCTGGGCCTTCTGGGCTGCGTCCCTCATGACCTCGCGTGCACGTGAAGTTGCTCGCTTTTTCGAGGATGGCTCATAGTACCTTGTCTCCGGAGTATTGAAGAAGGACACACGGCGTCTGCCTGCTGAAGGTGAACGGCTTGGCTCCAAGAAACGGTCTGCTTTCTTAAGGACACTGCGTGTTGCAGTGCGAGACCTGGCACGAGGTGAACGAGATCAATTATTGATCGCGCCCAGTAATGTCACGCCCATAAGGTGGCGCGTCTGGTCGCCTTCCAGGCCGCGGCCGCCTGCCCCGACCGGCGGCAATGCCACTTGGGGCGCCAGCGGCCTGGACCAAAAAGCTCCCAAGTCTTCCCGCAGCTTGTATTTCCCGCAAAGGCTTCACAGAACCCGATGTCGGCTGCGAGTCACCAACGTCGGTTGCGGCCATGCCCAAAAATGCGCGCGGCACCACAACGAGAGCGCAGTCGCAAGCACACGCCGCGCCCCACCAGATTTTGCGAGCCTGCGCAGTCGAAAGGACTTCGAGAGGCATGAACGCACTGCAAATACCAACGAATTAGCCGGACGCCCCAATGCAACACCTTGCTTAAACACTGGCGCTTAACTACTACCGTACTACTTACCTGCTGAACTCCTAGTGTGACCACACTGTTTGAAGAACAAAGAAGATAACCACGCCAGGCCCCGGACAGAGATGAGCTGTGGCACATGAGAGTACATATAGGGCATGCCTGGGTGAACCTGCGCCAGGTAGCACAAGCATATGAGATCGCGCGCACGAGAGCACCCATATGAGAGCACAACCTCGAGAGCACACATATACACAGCGCACGCCGCATATCAGAGCACGCGTGACACGCGCATATGAAAGCTCCGTGAATCGAACACGCCTACGAGAGCGCCCAGGTACTGGGCAATGATCCTTAGCACATGTAACCACGCCAGATCATGCACGGAGATGAACTGTCGGGAATCAGAGCACATAGGCAACACTTGCAAACGCAAAACAATATCACTTCAAATGAAAAACGAGCATGCAAGTCGAAAGTACAAAAAACGAAACGATCTCTACTTCTAGCTCGAGGCCTAGAAACAAAATAGTCTCTTGGCGACAGAGGTCTAGAGGTCGGGGCTGACGCATCTTCTCTGCAAGTGCCAGAATGCCAAAATTTCATGATGTGTGTCCAAGCATGGAGTCCGGAAATGGATGCGACGGTGGCCGCCGTGGTTCAGGAAAGAGTACCGCAAATAGACAGTTTGCTGATTGCTCGGGGTGGAGTGCGGAACCATGCTGATGTTACGGTGCCTTCACGCACCTGTGTGTGCTGAGTGGCTTTTGGAACCATTTGCGCACATGCAGGGATTATGATTGAGCCATGACCCCTGAGTGCGGTGGCGGAAATGCAGTATGGACCTTCAGACCTTCAGATTGTTCTCTCGATTTCTAGACTTGTAGACCTCTAGACCTAGAGACTTCTACACCTAACTGTCCAGAACTCTCTTAATCTCTGCTTGGATCGCTTTCGTGCACAAGGCCACTGCCATGCTAGAGTTTCGCTTCGCAAAAAAAAAGGCAAAGGATCAATCCAACCAACTAACAGCGCTTACTAAAAGCAAAGCACTTTGTGAAACTGGAAGTGCAGATTTCGTGACAGGCGCAACACATTGTGAACCTCGAGGC